GGAGGATTATCTACTTCTAAAGAGAAAAAAAATTTTAAATGTGAAGTTTGATTGATTTATACCTACCCAAAAATAGTTACTGTGGCTTAAGAGTATATTTAATCAGAATTTATGTGTTTCCTCATTATGTTTTTATGTTGAGAACATTTAGTAAAACCTATCATTAACCACAACATAACTACATGTCCCCAATCTCACATAATCTTACAGCCTTAAGTTCGTGTAAAAGAAAAGCATTTTATTTTCCCAGAAACTGTTCAAATTTAGTAGGCTGTTTTGTTGTGTTTGTTTTTGAAGAACACTGGATCTCTCCTCTCTCTCTGTGATACATTTCCTGGTCCAGTGCCCATTGTGACTATGAAACCAGAAAAAAATGTGGTCAGAGATGTCTCTTTTAGGTAAGTAGCTATAAAAGTTATATAGTATGGAAGGCCAAGAGTTAAACTCAGAGTTAAGTAAAGGTTAAAGTGGCCCTGCTGGGAAAGTCATAACAACTTGACTTCAAATCATTTGGCAAAGCCAAAGAAAGGTGTTTGACAAGAATCCGACAAAAGGAAAGAGGAAATAACTTAACAGCTAAATAGGGTCATGAATTTGGAAGTGGGAAATGGAGATTTTCACCACGACAAAGGAGTCATACAACACATTTTTTTAAAACCTAGTTTTAATCTTTATGCAAACTTCAAAAATTTGCCAATGTGTCCAAGTAATCAATAATATTAAAACAGACTCCATTTTAAGAGGAGTCCCTCCTCTTGCCCAAAGAAATTTCTTTACCCTTGTCCTGAATCTCTTCCCTATTTCTCAGGAACCTCATCTTTGGACCATTTCCTAACCTGTGGTTTCATGTCTTCCACCCCTCTGTCTCCTTTCTGTCAATATTTAAACAGGCTCCAGTCTCTCCCAACTTTAAAGAAATAAAATATGGGGACCAGCAGATGGCATAATGGCTGCATCGCTGGATTCCCATGTAGTCAACCATGGTATGAGTCCCGGACTGGTGGCTTAAACTCATGCCAGGCACGTGTGCGTGCATACTCAAGATCCCGAGAGGAGAATGGAGAAGGGATTGCGGCGTAGCCGCCCTCCCTTGGGGGGTGATTTCTCGCTTTCTGTCTCTCTGTCTCTCTCTGTCTTTCTGGCAAGTGCATGTGCCCAATAGCAAAAACCTCTCAAAAAAATAAAAAAAAGAAAGAAAGAAAATATTACCCAATCCTTACTGGTTGGTCTCTGTTCTCTTCCAATTCTCTTCTCTCTTTTCCTTTTCTAGAAAGGGTGATCCACAGGTTGTCTTCCTCACTCTCACCCACACCTCACGTGTCAAAGCTGATTCTACTCACCTCTTGCTCTAGCCAAGACTTCCCAGTCCCACCTTTTTCCAAATCCAGTCAGTTTCTCATCCTTACACTATTGTGCCCTCTATGCAACATCCATTCTCTCGCTTTTTTTTTTTAAAAAAAAAAAAAAACCTCTCTCCCTTCTATGATACTACTTCTCATCATTTCTTCTCTCTCAGTCTCCTCTATGGAATTTTTCTCTTTGTCAACTGATTTGAATTGTTTTATTATTTCCACCAATAATTCAAGGCCCCAGGGTCAAAAGGCACTGTTCTAAGGAAATCACTATGTCATCCCAAGGAGACTGGAAAGGCCAACACGATGCACTGAGAAAAGTGCCTAAGCTGAATCACAGGGCTCGATGCTTACCCCCAATCCTGATGGAACACCCTGAGTACTCCACATGGGATTCTAAGTACATGCCCTCCAGGATTCAAGTTTCAGTACCTCCTCTACCTTCTCGTCTCCTCTGCTCCCCTAAGACAGAACTAACATCTGTCACCACTTCATAGAAACTCTGGACAATACTTAGGCTAATTAGACAAGGATTTGGGTTTTAAAGCGGTTATGTTACCATACTCTATAAGGAAAAGTAAAATGAGATCATAATGAATTAAAAATTAGGAAATCACAGAAAAGGAGAAGAAACTATATTTTAAAAAAATAACAAAATGGACTTTTTTATTGTCAGAGTATGTGTGTGCTCAACAGTGAGAAACAGACAGGGAGAACTAGAGTAAGAGGGAGAACACAGCCCCCAATGAGGCATGGTCACAACACAATCTCTTCTCTTTCATTTCTCCATCCTGTTGGGGCATATATATACATATGTCTGGCATGTTTTACAAGCCACCAAGGCTGGGATTTGATCCACCGTCAACCATGAGAAGTCTGGCTCCCCTTACCATTAGGCTATGAGGCCAGCAACCAGATGTAAATTTTAAAACTGAAAAATACAATGTCTGAAATAAAACACTCATTGATGAACTGAACAGCAGTGGAGATAAGGAAGAAAAACTCAGTAAACTTGAAGACAGATTAAAGGACAAAGAGAAACAGAATTCAAGGAATACTTAAAGAAACAAAGGTCAAAATGTCCACCAGTTTCATCAAAGACACACAGCATCAGAGACAACACAAAGGCTCTGAAATTGCCAGGCAAGTCCAGCATGAGAACTTTATCTACATGTCTTCAGCAATCCTCAGGCCCAGCCTATGCGGGGAGTAAGTATGTCCCCAGTGGAATAGCTCTGAGTAGGGGCATCGAGTATACATTTAAATAGAATGCACATAAACTCTGTGGGCAGGGCAAGGATCAAGCCCCTTGCCAACTTTCTTGGCTTTTGGAGAGAATAACAAATGCCCTTTCTCTTTCAGCTCTTCCTTCTCTTGGTAAATTTCTCAGTTTACCAAGAAATCTTGGAAACGAATGAGTCAATGCTACCCACTTTGCCCTCTTTCAGTCAGACCCTCCAAGTCTGAACCCAGTTGTATCTCTGACCTCGTGCTCACATTCCACTCTACCCATGACCTCACTCCCTTTAGGCTAAAGGTCTAACATCATTGAAGACTCGCAGGCCTGTTTCTTCTGAGGCTGTTTGTTTTGTCCATCTTTAGGGAGCTGGCTTAGCAAACAGAAACAATGTCCCAAATTAAGGCCCAAGTGTTTTACATGGTGACATGCCTAAGGGGAAATGAGGTTTGAAGTGCAAACATTTTATTCATAAATTGATCTCAAGTTTATCTGAACTAAAGGCAGATCCTATACCAGAGAATTATCATAGGGCTGCAAAGAACAGTTTCACACTAAGAAGGACTGGAAATCACGAGCATTTCCCTCGTGGCACCTGCTGTAAATCTCCGAGATTTATGGTCAGTAAGAGCTGTGTGCAGCTGTAATCATGCCTCATGCTGAGATGATAACCTTTCCAGAAACCAGGTGTTTTTTGTGTCTGGGCTTAATCACCAAACCCAGTCAAGTCTTGGGCCACATGATTTTTTCATTCCACAGGTGGGAGCTCATGGTCAACCTTAGAAATTAAGAGGGGTTAACATTTAGCTAGGAAAGTGAGTGAGCTGTCCTGGTAATCAGGTCGTAAGAGAGAGCAGCGACAATCCACTCAGACACAGGAGTGTGGAGACACTGGGTGACCCATCCCTTCCCCCAGAGTCTCTGGTGGAGCATCAGGAAGTGGCTGTCCCTACCTTTTCTAACAGCAGCATCATATTGTTCACAATAAAAGCTAGTGCCTGGCATGGCAGGCACAGGGTTCAGAAGTAATGGAATTAAGGTACAAGGGAGAAGGGCCAGCAGGTGGTGTGGTAGTTAAGGTGTTGGGCTTCCACATGGTCGACCATGGTTCGAGTCCTGGACCTGAAAACTTGCCTTCTCACTTTCCCCTCCTCTCTCCCTCTCTGCCTCTCTCCAGTCAAATTTAAAAATAATAATAAATAAATAAACAATTATTTTTAAAAGATAATAGGAAACATAACAAAATATTTAAAAAGAAAGAAAGAAAGAAGGAAGAGAGAAAAGAGATGCCTTCTGCTCCTTTCCTCCTTAGTTCTCGTTTTGGAGCAGAAAAAAATAACAGGAAAGACCGTGTCCTTTTTCCTCCTCGTGGGTAACCTTGATCCTCTCGCCTGCCTTTTCAGGTCCCTTATGATCATTAATAGCTTATTTTGGAAACGCTTTCAGTATTTGCGGTCTCCACTCTAGCCATATTTTGCTGTAAATGATATTTATTGTTACTCTCGCTCTGGTAGGGCTGAGGGGCCTTCTGGGTGATGTGTTTATTGTCGTACATGACATGAGGCATGGATAATTTAGGTCAGGTCCCAAGGTAAGTTTTTGTTTTGCAAAAACATCATCACAAGGGCGGAAGGTGTATGGGGCTGCATGTGGGAGCCTCAGAGCTAAGTGGTGGAGCAGGGCTCCTGCCCCAGAGCAGGCTTCCTTGTTCTCCTGAGCTTGTAGGCAACAAAGAGCATCTCTAACATCTGAAGGCTAACACATCCTTTTCTTTACTTTTGGGACAGGAAATATATTCCTAACAATATTTGAAACCAACTGTAGAGCTCTTGATTCCCTAAAATTGAGTGTGAAAAGATGAGAAAGCCTACACCTAGAGATGAGCATGTTTGCAAGCTGCCCCTCAGCCCTGTTCTTAGCCTTTTTTACTAATTACATCTCTTACACATACGCCTAGGGTTGGCACTTCACTGGTGGTAACTTCTGTTTCTTGAAAGGAAAGCAATACTCAAGAATGGCCTGAACCTCTGGAACCAGCAGTTAGCGTAATGGCTATGCCACTGGACTCCTATGTAGTCGACTGCGGTTTGCGTCCCAGACCTGGTGGCTTAAAACTCACACCAGGCGCGTGCACGTGTGTGCCCAAAATCCTGAGAGGAGAACAGAGGAGAAGGGATTGCAGTGTGGCCATCCCCCTGGGGGGTGATTTCTCGCTTTCTGTCTCTCTGTCTCTTTCTGTCTGTCTGGCGAGCGCACGCGCCCTGTAGCAAAAACCTCTCCAAAAAAAAAAAAAAAAAAAAGAATGGTCTAAACCTCTAATTGTCGTCTTTAGACTCTAGAAACTAAAAATGTTATTTTCTTTGCAAAATGAAGTCCACACTTTAAGGTTCATATCATTTATAAGTCATAGGTTGAAAAAACAGTTGCATAAATTATAATTTTTAAGTAGACCAGGACCCAGAAGCATTGTACTTAAACTAAGACTAAACTGGAGCTAAATGCTTAGCATAAAGGAAAATTTTGAATAAAAGTCACTCAAGCCAAGCATCACACAAAGACTCCCATTCTTGAGCTGTCCCTGCCCAGTGGTTCCTGTCAAGCTCAGGAATCCTTTGGCTCTGTTCCTTCCCTCATGTTTGCACGCAGACTTCCTGTGGAGCTGAAAGAAGCATGGGAGCCCCTCTAACTCACAATCTCCACAGAGGATACTTTCAGTCCTATCCTGGAGAAAAGTTGGAGGCAGAATAAATTAGAGCTAATCTAGGATCTTTATTAGAATAGCACAAAGGGACAAACGGGGAAAACAGAAATATCAGGTCTTGAGCACCTGTACCACGCAAGCACCTTGCTGGAATAGCTACCATACACTGGTTTCCCCACTTCACATCCCATTTAGGGGTGAGAAATGTGAGAGGTAGAGAATGCACCGATCTTTCACGTCCCACCTGGGGACGACACTGGACAATCTGAGACCCTGTCTGAAGTACTCAAAGGCGTCTACTCAATTAGATCACCAATAACGGGTACCACATGGAGACCACTAACCGGTTGTCAATGGCATATTTTCCCAGAGTCTTACGACATGTAGAACTAAGACTAAGCATTTCCCCACCTCCTCCATACAGATTTTAAACTTTATTATTATTACTTTATACATTCTTTCACTATACATCATTTGGCTTGTAAAGGGAATTTACCCCATATGAGATATACTTCACACCAATCCAGTTAGGAATACTTACATGTTATCATCCACAGATAATAACTGTACTTTACTTCTAACCCTTTAGTATGAAGATCAATTTAGGCTTTTCTCTCCATCCCAACAAGCAATAATTTTTTATTTTTAAGATCAGAAAAAGATAAATAGGCTAAAATATGCAGGATTTCTTTCAAAGATACAGTATAGTGATAGTAAGGCATTAATACCATATGTTGATACTATGCATTAATATGGCTGATTTTTGCATTAGTACTGTCCATTATTACTTTACTATTGTACATTAATAACATTTGCTCTCACCTTGATGTGGTCAGGCCTTCCATTGGTATGGACCCTTTCTGGTACTCCATTTTGGGCTTGAAGGACTCTCTGGGCAAGTAAGAGCAATAGACAGGGTAGTTCTCGGTGTATTCGGAGAGAAGACATGGTCTCTCTGTTTTATCGTAAATCTTGGTAGGGAGATGTGGACAGTGATGCCGCCTGTGAATGACATATGGTGTTAGGCTGGCTTCCTTCATGTGAGGAATACTGCCACCTCCAAATGTGACTCAGACTATAAAATCATGAGACTACCAGCACCAAAGACTAGAATGTAATCCTTCCTTTTCTCTACTAGACTACGACAAATGGCCAGAATTTAAAAGATGGCCTATCACTACAATTGGTTAGTCAAAATTCCTTGGATCATAAAATTACCCACAAGCACAGCTGATGTCCAGCTATTATATATACCAATATTTGCAGGAACATGTGTATACTTCCATAACATACTAAGGAAATAGCTTTGGCCCCCAAACTCTCTGAGTGCCACCAGAGATGCGCTACTCCTGCTCTTGAGGACATCCAATGACACAACAATTATGGCTTAATACTGACTGACTATGGTACTGCAAGGCTCTAGGGCCAGGCTAGTGTTTTTTCTAACCTGTTGATCCCTGCGTCAATTCAGAATATCATCATTGCATACCAGTGGTATCACACGAGGGAAAACACCTCAGCTGAGTCCACTAAAAACCACGGACTATGTGAAACCATCATTCCCACTGAAAGTCTTGCTCATTTGTCCTTTCAGCTCACTCAATTGTTTCATCCTTAGAAAGATTTCCCCAATCACCTTATGCCTAAAGTACACCCCACTATCACATCCCTTCTCCACTCCTACTCACATAAACTCTCATCAACCCAAGCAGGTCTTTCTCTTACTGTTATTCATAACTCACATATCTGATGGTCAGTTCGTTCACCATCTACTTATCTACCAAGCTCAGGACCTTTCTCTATCCTGATCACTGCTACATCCCACACTACCTTGTACCTACCTGGCATATAATATGTACTCAGTAAAATGCACTGAGAGGCTGAATTTTATACATTTGATCTCCACATATCGATATATCACAATTGTATTCTTGATTCAATAAATTTTATGTTTCATTATAAATGGATTCAATGAAAGATAATATTTTGAAACTTAAATGTATAGTTAGCTTTTCCATTTTACATCCATGGTAATAAATTATCCCTATTATTCTACTTACGGCTGGACAGACAGCAGCTGTTAGAGCTGTTGGAAAGCTAGGTAAGCATGGGCCCACTCTGTGGTACAATGGAAATGCACTGTTGAAGAGAAACTGGATCCAACTTGGTGACCATGTTTTGAAAAACCAGCCCCGTCAGGCTACAACATGCTGGCCATGTGCATAAGTGCCCAGTATCCAACAGGCCGAAGGACTGGAGGAAAGCGATTACAGTGTGACCAGACCCTGTGGAAGGTGCTCACCTCCTTCTCTCTTATGCACATGCACTTATTATATCATAAATAAAGAAAAAAAAAGCTTTGGGACCAGCAGTTAGCATAATGGCTATGTAGCTGAACTCCCATGCAGTCAACTGTGGTTTGAGTCCCGTACCTGGCAGCTTAAACTCATGCCAGGTGCGTGTGCATGTGTGCCCAAGAGCCC